CGCACCTTTCCAGAGCCTCCCCGCCACATTTTCCCCCTCCCCCGACCCCCGCACTTCAAAGAGCGAGAATCCAGAATCCAGAATCGAGAATCGGGGGGAAATCGGGGAGCAGGAGTAAGACACTCAGCAGGCCACAAGTTCCCCAGATGTATTTGAGTTTCAGCGCAGTCTGGGTCTGACTTACAACTAATGCAATATAATAAATTTATACAGGGTTACAAATAAATGTGGGCAGACCTCTCCAAGTGCCTCTCTACGGTGTGTGTGTGTGCCAGTGAGTTGAAAAATAAATAAATAAATATTTTTAGAAGGATACATGAGATTGAAAAGGCGACCCGCTCCTATTTCACGTTTCCTGCTTTCGGTGTGTGTTGTTTTGCCTTACGATGATGCCTCAGAGGGGGGCTTTTCGGGGTTATTTATCAGCATAAATTATTTATGCCGCATTACGGGCATAAAAATAAATAAAATAAATGAAGCCGGCCAACTAAATCCGATTAGAAAATGCCCAAGGAGGCCCGCCAGTAATGGGCTACAAGATACAAACACACACACGCACACACAGATAACACCGAGTCCATAGATACAAATTTATTTTTATAGATTAATCAACGAATTACTTGTGCAGCTGTTGCCGCAATCCCATTTCCCATTTTCATTTCCACATCGTATACGATTTATTTGGCTTAGCCATAAAAAAGAAAATTTTCCGCCAAGTATTTGAAAATATAAACATTAAAATCGCCGTTATGGCCTCATCGTATTTAATTAAATGTTTATGCCAAGCATTTAAACTAAATCGAGCAGGGCCAATTCGGCATTCGGAATTCGGAATTTGTACGTCTGCTTTTCAGCTCTTTATGTGTAAGATGCTGTAAAAACTACTTGGGGAGTACTTGAATGGCCCGCTTTTGTGTATTCTCCATGTGGGGATCGCCTCGGTTCGGTTTGGTTCGTTTCGGTTTTTGGGATCGGTGGGTGCGCATATATAAAATATGACTGAATAATATAAAACAGAAGGCGATACATCAAAGCGGATTATACAATTTATTCTTGCTTTTATTTCTCGGTCGGGGATTCGTTTTCATTTGTGTTCTTTGGCTTTCGGGTTTGTTTGCCTGTTCTGAAAATATATTCTTCATTTTTATTTTATTTATTTACTTTCCACGAAGATGTTGTAAACAAAAGAAAATATAAAATGTTCAAAAGATAGATGCAACAGATGCAGCTGGCTGAACAAAAAAAAAATACAAAACACGCTGGGCCACGTAATAAATTGTATTATTTATATTATCTTATATAATGCAACCCCCGATGTTAGCCACGGGAATCCGGGGAACGCAAAAGTATCTCGCAGATACCGAGACACCGAGATACAGCGGAAGCCGTGAGCTCTTTCGTCTGAGAGTGACGAGTGTAATGACTTTTGTCGATTGGGTTAAGTGGCTTGTTGGCTTCCTTTGCCCACAGACACTCACTCACTTCGAGATGCGAGATTCCTTTTTCGAGCTGTGCATCTTTTTCAATTTTTATGCACGCCACTCGCTCCCTTTTCCTGATTCCTCACCTTTTTTCCTGTGTTTCGCTCAAGTAGTTTGAATGTGGCACGTTTAGCTGCTGCTTCCCCTCCCCTGCGGTAATTTGTCTGCAGCGTTTTTTTTTTTTTTTTCATTTTTGTGGCAGTGGCGGGCTGCAGTTTTTGCCGGCTGGAGAAAAGGTAAGCGACACACGCTAATCATGAGTGTGAGATTCTCGCAGATTCTCTCCCTTTTTCTCCGGCATCTCTGCCCCTTTCTCCCTGCGGTTTGGCCCTCATCTGCGGACTAATTGAGTGGGAAAGTGGCTAGGAAATCGAAAGGGAAAGGGAAAGGGAAAAGGCTGCGGGATGTGGAATTGATTACAATCAGAATATTGTATCTCAATTGTAATCTTTATTTTCGGGAGGGTTATTTCTCATGGGAATGTGAATCTTTTTAAAATTATTGTAGGAAATTTTAAGTTAAAAAATAATATATAGTATATTATTCTTAACCCCTACCTTTTTATATAAATTGTTCTTTTGAAATTACAAACTCAAGAGCAATGTATTTCCCCCCAAATGAGTTTCAGTCGTCTTATTGCGCCTAATAAAAACTTCCTCTGCGCCCACGCTCTGCAAAAAGTTCAGTGAACCGATCGAGAAGCCGGAGAGGAAACCAATAATAATATACAACCTCTAATGATGCACACTCGCACACACAATCTAAATGCGCTGGCAATAAAATATGAAAAACCGAAGAACAAAAAAGTGCGTAAGGGAGAAAAAATGATTTTTAACAAAGGCGAAGGCAGACAAATAAAAGTGCAATTAATCACCAGAAAGCGAACAACCAGACGGCCAGAACTGAGAGCTGAGAATCAAGACCCCTGGACCACGGCGACTGACACTTATCGGCTTTATCTGCTTATGGGAAGGGGAAGAAAAGGAGGTATAAAATCGGAGGTGCATTCACACAAACATATAAAAATATAAAGGGAAAGGAATTATAAATATTAAAGAAGTTGGCCGAGGATGCTGCCTGTCAATATTTGATTTTTATATATGGCAGTGGCTTGATGCGATCCGATCGCCGCGCTGCCACCAAAAATGCATCAGTTTTTAATAATAAATGAAATGTGTGAATAAACGTTGGGCAATTTTGTAGGAAGGGGGAAATGGGGAGAACAATCGGAAAGGCAAACAGCAGGAAAGCATAAACACGGCCGGCAACACTAATACCCAGGCAAACAAACAAAGATGCAGATACAGATGCCGCAGTGGACTCAGATTCAGATGCAGATGCAGGCGGAGATGCAGATGCATTTTCCAAAGAATTTCTAAGCACATAAAAAGCAAAGCAAACGGTCAGTTGGGAAAATATTTAAAAAAGCATAAAACAAAATATTTATTGAAAAGAGACGCTAACGAGCCAACGCGCCTTGCAACGCCGCGGCGATGGGGCAAACAAACGGCTTCAAAAATCGAACACATGAGCGGGCTAATGCACGCGGCTATATTCATATATATATGGCCGGGCCGGCTATTTGATTAATGCACTCGAAAGCGACAATAAACACGGAACATGGCCGAGAATCGGAGGGAATATCGTAAGGAGTCTTGCTGGGATTTCTTCTGACTGCACACAAACAAATATCGCATTCCGATTGATCTCGGAACTCTCGGCAAAATGGACATGGAACCGGGACTGCGAATGCGAATGCGGCTGTGAATGGAACTCCATCGCCGGAGATCTCGGGTTCTTGAGTGAACAACGTCGTCGACGTCTATTGGATAAATAAATACAAATTTTTATTAAAGTGCGAATTCTGCGGTGAGCTCAGTGCTAATGCAGTCGAACTCGAACCGGTCGTAGAGTTTGTCCCCCCGAAAGGAGTTTTGCTTCCCCCTCAGCGATCTTAACTGACAGAAAATATTGTATCACTTGTACTCCCCACAAATTATTAATATAATTATAGTAGATATTCCTTTTAAAAGTAATGACAAAAACCTTTCGATTTATCTTAGACTTGCTTTTAATTTTTCTAAAATTTATTACTTTTTAATGAAGCCACGGAGTTCAGCAGTAAAGTAATAAACAAAATCTTTTGATTGATCACCAACAGTTTCACTATGAGGATCATAAATTTAACACATTTAAAAAACTGTTCTTCTTAATAACATATTAAAAAATTGTTTAAATGGTCAAATATATTAGGAATGAGGGTTTTTTGAAAAAAACAAAATATACATATGTACAAATCATATGATCCCCATATTTTCACTGTGCAGATATCTTTCGCCGTTGGCCTAATTGAAGCACACTTAGGGAACCACAACAAGTCACAAAATGCTCTATAGATCGAAATCAACCGCAGGCCACAAGAATTTCAATCACCTCCTGGTCACCGAGGCAGCGTTCCAGTGACTGCTCCCCAAGAGCCCGAGAATTGGGGGATCTGACCACCTCGGAATGGGGGAAAATATCTGGAACAAATCTCCGCGGGGGAAAAGAGAGGGCGCGGAGAGCGAACAATGGACGACGTGGAGCACGTGAATGCTGTCAATCATTCCAGGGAGTGGGCACAATGGAGGTGGGGAGGGGGCTCAAAATCTGTGGGACTGGAGCTCCACATTCCGCGCTGTGACGTCACGACACGAGGCGAAATGCCGCCGGCAGAATTCGCTGCCGAAGATTGGGGATCGCCGAAAGGCGCGCGAATCGTGAATCAAAACAAACCAAGCGAAATGATCGGAGAGAGCAAGTGGAAGAGATACGTTCAATAAATGGAGCCTATGAGCGGGAGAAAAGCAGCGCTGCAACAGAGCAGTTGCAGCGCAGTAGCAGCAGAAGAGAGGGGACCCCCATGATCTTACACTCTCTTTGATGAAATGTTCTTGAGAAACTGAAGAGTGTTCGGAAAGAGTTAACTCTCTTAAGCCTTTAAAATTGTTTAAAAAATTTGATAGATAAATTCATAATCAAAATTTTCATAAATTGAAACTGTTAACTTTTAGCTTAAGTCCCATAAAGTAAATCATTTCAGCAAATTGTTGTTTATGACATTAAGTCATTTCGTATGGCATTGAAATTAAGTTTCATGTTAGAGTATCACAAATTTTTTTAATTTTTTTGAGGTATGACATGTGAATTTATAATCTTTAAGAAACTTATAATGCGTTTCAGGTTTTCTCAATTAGTTTTTGGTTAAGTGTAAATGGTAATATTAACATTACAATTTTTTCAAGAATATATTTGAGCTTCTTTAAGTTGATTCTAAGTGACCAACTACATAAAGACTTTTTGATTTTGATATCTTAACTAAGATCCTGTTGCTCGAACCTAACCATTTTTTTTTAATTTATCTAAGATAAAGATATATCATTAAGTTTACTGTGTTTGTTTTTTGAAATATCGAAAGGATCACAGTTTGGAGTTGATATCTTTTTGAATTTTATACATAAGTATCTGTAGTTCACTCACCCTTTCTTCCTCTCGAATCATCTCGGCGATTCCCGGCTTGATCTCCATGTCATCGGCCAGCGACGATCCTCCGCCCGCGCCCACTCCCCCGCCTCCTCCGACTCCTACTCCGCCCACGCCCCCGCCGCCCACTCCGCCGCCGTGGTGGTGCGGCGGTGGGGGCGGGAGGCGTGGCTCGGCGGGCGGCCCCTGGCCCAGGCCGCTCAGCTCCATGGCGGCGGCCATGGCGGCAGCGGGTCCAAGGGGAAACCGCGAGTCTCCGGCGGGCGAGGGCGGATGGTGGGGCGTGCCCGAGGCCTGGGCGGGATGGGGGGCGGGCGGGGCGTGGTGGTGCGGATGCAGGGGCAGCGGCAACGGATGCTGGGCCTGCTGCTGCTGCTGCTGTGGCTGCTGCTGGGGACTCTGCGAGTGCGGACGCGAGGATCGGGATAGAGGTCCTGGCGTGGCGGCCGGCGAGGGCATGTCCAGAGCGTGGATGGCGGTCTCCAATCGCCGGGCGGCACTGGCCACGCCCACAGCGGAGGCGCCACTCAACGGTGGCTTCGGTGGCGGCGTCATCAGCGAACAGTCCCGCTGCCGCTCGCGCTCCTTCTGCTCCAGTTCCATCCGCTCGGCGGCTATCAGGCTGCTCAGCGGACTGGGCGGTGCGGGCGGATTGAAGATCGTGTCGGCGGAGGGCCACCGCCTCTTGCGCACGTTCCTGCCCTGCTGCCGCTCCAGCGGAGAGAGTCGCAGCTCGGCGGGATCCCAGTCGGTGCGCAGCTTCTTCTCCGGCTGCATGAAGGCCAGCAGCTCCTCGGCCTCCCGCTCGTTCTCGGTCCTCGAAGTGGAGGAGGTGCCCTCCTTGGGGGAGGTGACCCTTTCCGAGGAGGCCGCTGCCGCCGCCGCCGTGGCCGCCTCCATGTGGGTCACGTCCGCCAGGCCGCGCACCTTCAGCATCTCGGCGATGCGGAGGAGCGGACCGATCTGGTCCTGGCTCACGTTGATCTCGCCGCGGTACATGAACTCCACGATGGCCTTGAGGTCGCACCAGTTGACGTCCCGCATGATCACGATGGGGTGCTGGCAGGGCGTCTCGGCCAGCAGCGTTTGGAAGTAGGGCGAGCAGGCGGAGAGGACCATCTTGTGGGCCTTCATGGAGCGGCCGTCGCAGGCCAGCGTCACGTCCACGAAGCACTCGTTCTGGAGCAGCTGGTCGAAGATGGTGGTCAGGTTGGTCTGGTAGTTGTTCCATCGCAGGCAGAACTGCTGCGACGTGGAGCTGGGCGACGCCGCCGAGGAGCTCCTGCCCTGCGGCGAGCTCACTGGTGAGGATCCTCCACCTCCAGCTAACCCTCCTCCTCCGCCACCTCCTCCTGCTCCACCTCCTGTTTCCTTATCCTCATCCTTCGAAGCCACTCCACTTGGAGAAGTGCGATCCTCGCTCTTCGTGCGCTTCTCCTCCTGCTGAGCGGGCGAACTGCGATTGCTCTTCGGGGAGCCCGATCCCGATCCTTTGCGCTGCCTCGGATTAACGGTTTCCTGCTCGGACGCCTTCGTTTCCGCCTGCGCCGACGCCATTTTGTCTACAGCTGATCGTTGATCGTTCAACGGTTAACGGTTAACGTATAACGGTAGACGGTAAGCGTAATACGTATAACGCGTTTCGTAACGCGGCTCGCTCTTCACATAGCGTTTGATTTCTTCAAAAGAATTCAAAAAACCGCGACAATTACGACGCTCAACTGAGAGTGGGCATGTACATGTGAGTATCTGTGTGTGGGTGTCTGTGTGTCGCTGTGTTAATGTGTAAGTGTGTTTTACGTATTCGTTACGTTACGCGCACTACGTGGCCATTTGGCAATTAGCCCGTCTCGTTCTTTCAATTCAGTTCCGTTCAGTTCAGTTCGTTTCGTTACGTTACGCTTCGTGTGTCCAGAGTTTTGGTTTATAGTGTGTTCAGTTCAGTTCAGTTCAGTGGCGTTCCGTGTTCTCTGTGTTCTGTGTGTTCTATGGCCAACAAACAGGGCCAAAAGTCTTCTCAGCACGAGCGTCTGAATTAGACTGAAATCGTTTTGCACATTTTGATACGGAAAAACTCAAAACAAACTTAACACACGACGACGACGATGGCCCACGACGCCTCGGTGCGGAAAACTGAGGGTCGCCGAGGGGCTATGACTGTGGCTCGATGGCTCGATGGCTGGATGGCTCTTTGCCTCGATGTTTCGATGGGCTATATGGCTCGTTGGCTCGCTGGCTCACTGGCTATATGGCTGGCTATATGTGGCAACGGGCACGCTGATGTTGCAGGCAACTGCCACTGCCGCTGCCGCTGCCTTTTTGTAGTTGTTTCTCTCAGGCGGCGGCGACTGTGAGTTCGCGACGAAGTTGCGAATAGTTCGCGAACTGCTCTGCCGGCGTTGCGAAAGGCGAAAGGAAAATGCGGCGCCGCTGAGAACTGAGAACAGCGAACTGCGAACGGCGAACGGAAAACTGAATGCCGAGGCAGCGAGGCGGCAGCGAGGCAGCAATGCAGAGACTTCGACTGAGGCAGCGTGGCAGAGGCGGCAGAGTCGGCTGACAAACGGCTGAAATCGGCGAGCTGTAGGCGCCAAAAAACGCCGGCTAACGGCACAACAACGTTGTTGCCACATTCCTTTGCTCCTGCGCTGCGTTTTGGCTCTCCTCGAGCTCAAAATCGCAATCGGCTGTCGGGCCGAGTCCTTCGTCCTGCCACTCGTACTCGCACTCGCACTCACAATCGTCCTCGTTCTCGGCCTCTCGCCGTTGCAACCCCCAAAAATTTTTGGCGCTTTGGCGCTGCACAACTACCATTGCGTAAAAAGGATGCGTCGCTGCAAGTGGAAAGTGGAAAGTGGGAAATTGGCAAGTGTGCGTGCGTGAGGAAACGGAAGTTGCCCCGAAAATGCAGCGAAGAGCGAGCTTAGGCCTAATATTTTTCGGAGGCGCTGGGCAGGAGAGGGTGGGGCCATGCCCCACCGACCAATACCCCCGGTTCGAATACGAGGAGCACATTGCGGGGGGGCGGGGGGAGTGGGCTTAGCAAGTGGGAAAATATGGTTGATATCGGCAGCGCTTTTGCCGGTAACTTGAATGTGCATTGCAAGTATTCAAGATAATTGAAAGGAATTGAAATAAATAAAGATATTTATGGGTCATTATATTCCAATAAATACATAAATATATTTTATGAAATTATATGTATATTTAAAAAAATAAATATTAATATCTTAATACACGAATATTTCTTAGACAATATTTTAATAATTATTTACAAGATTGATCATAAATTAGGAAAAGATTTATGATAGTGATCATTAGGCAATCTTCTCTTTCGAACCCTTTACTCTTTATCTATTTCCTTCACACGCATTTCTCGCCGAACTGAGGAATAAAACTCGGTTGAAAGATGCTTCATTAATTAGTTCCGTTTGTTGGGGCCACCCTTTCCCCGCACCCACGAAACCCCCCGCCATAACCCAACGAAAAACTCTCTTTGCCCGTCGCTCTCAGTGGCAGAGAAGTCGGCGTCTCAGTCGACGGCGCCGTCGTTCGTGCATTGTAAACAAATGCTTAGGCGAAAAACAAGATGTGCGGCGAATTTGACGACTCGTGCTCTTTCTCTCGCGAGAGGGACGGCAACAAGCGGACTCTTTGGCGACTAAGAGACGTTTCTCTTTCTTTTGCCTGCACCTGCAGTTTTCCACTGTTTTTCTTCATTTTTCTCGCTCTTGTGGCAGGGGGGAGGGGGTTTCTTTGGGGGTAAGGGGTTAAAAAGGCGGAGGGCGGGGCACTATCGCTTGAGACTGGTCAGCCTCGATTTTGCGCCTCTGTGTGCGAATTCCCCCTATTCGTGTGTGTTTGTGGGCATTTTGATTATTTTGTTTTTGCCTTGCGCATTTATAATATGCATAAAATAACGAAAAAAATACAAATCTAGCGAAAATAAAATTCGCACAAGAGCGAGTGAGACGAAGCTATAGCCACCTTCAAGGTGAGCGAGCGAGAGGGGGAGAGACAGGTAGAGGTACCCCAGCCAGTCATAAATTATGCATAATTTTTTTCGTGACTGGCAAATGGCGGCTGCTTTTTCAGTTGGTTACATTGTAATAAACATCGGCCATGAATCGCCGCGAAAAAAAAGGGGGAACAAAATACGCGATCGACAGGTATTTCAATCGATCAAGTTGCTCAGTATTCAGTATTCACCTGGCAACTGTGAATGAGATTTTTAATGCCTTTTATTCAGCCATTTCCGTTGTGTTAATGCCTCCAAAGTGATACTTTTGCTTATTAATGGCCAGCCTTCAAAATAGTTATGAGGAATTGTACTATTATATTTTTTTATTATCCGGTGTCTTTATATTTGTGTGAATTTTGGTTATTAACAAATTTAACGATTCGATTTCCTTTGCAAAAATTGGTTGAAGATATTTTTGTATTTTTATGAAGACATTTTGCATTTGTATATCGCATATTACTCATCTACATATTTCATCCAATTTTTATTTTAAACTATTTACATGTTCTTCTATTCAAAAACCTTTAATTATTTCCGAATTTGTTTGGTTTATAGCAACCAGTGAATTGCAGCAAACAAAATTTGGATCAAACGCAGAAACACGAAAATGCATCACGCATTCTCTAAGTTGTTTGTTGCCGGTCAGGGACAGGGGAAATGGGGGAAAAGCGGGCACTGGGAAACGGAAAATGGGAAATGGCTGGTAGGCTCGCGACTGCAGAACGCGTTTATACGAAAATTTATGTATTTAACTGGTGACGACGACGCTGACGAGCAAAACGATGACGCGGACGCGAAAGGACATCGGAGATGTGGACGCGGGACGCAGGCGGCAGGATCAGGGGATAGAAAACGGCGGAGGACGTGGGCACTGGATGTGGATGACCAAAAAAGCGACGAAAGCCTCTGCGAAAGGCCGAAAGTGGGTGGTTTTGGGTGGAAGTGGGGGGTTGTGGGGGGTGGAGTTCGTGTGTGCGGGGAAAGATGACAACATTTGAGCCAAACAGACAAAGTTGCGGAAGGGGTGAGAGGTCGTCGTCTGACCCACACACATGAGTGAACGAACAAGCAAACAAACAAATAAAACGGTTGCCATGAGTGTGATTGCACTGCCCAAAATATCTGTTAAAAGCAGCAAAAGAATCTCCGCCAAAATCATCGAGTAAAACCAATTGCTTTCTATTTTTTTTTTAGTACAAAACGGGTTTTTTTTCAATAAAGTCTACAAGAATCTCTTATCTTTGTCAAAAAACTCACGTCTTCATTTGTTATCTGAACTAAAACAGGTAACATGTCAAATTATCGATGTTTTTGTTTTGAATCAATTGGGGATTTGCCCAGATAGAAGATAGAACCGAAAGGTTCCGAAATCAATTAATTTTAAACAATGCAGCCACAAGAAGAGACAACTTAGGTAATTGGATGAAAGCTTTTTGTTTTTATTATTTTAAATTTAGAGTCACGCGTGCGTAGACGATAATAAACTGATTCAATTGGAAATAGAAAGACAAACTTATTTTTTAAAGTCAGCAACATTGGTGATGAAGTCATTTGGAGGAAATATAAAAATACAATTAAAGCACTGATCAACTGTTTTAAACAAAAATTAAATTGAAAGACAAGAAAATATCCCAAAAGTGTATACATTTTCTTAAACCACCTTTTAAAATGTGAAACTGTATATACATTTTAGATTATTAGATATGTAAATATATTAGACTATATTAGATTTTTTCTCAGTGCCCGAAGCTGCGACCATGGAGGTGACCAAACGTACACAAGATGGGGAAATGGATACTGGGGGCATGGGGCATCGCCGGCGGGGAGATCAGCGGGAAAAAATGTTGCATATTAAAACGCCAAATAGAAGAGTGCAACAGCGACAACGGCGACGCTGCAGCTTAGAGAATGCAGAAAATGGGCGAACAAGGGTTAGGTTGGCCCTTTGCCGATTCTTCGTCCTCAGCTGCTGCTTTTGCTGCTGCCACTGCTGCTTTTGCTGCTGCTGCTGTTGTTTCTACCTTCGACCATGTCTAAAAGTTGGCTTACACACAAAAGCGATGAGCGATGATGCCTCAAATATGCAAAAATGCCTAGCGCAATAAAACCCCCTCGAGGGCGTATGGGCAATGAAAAAGGGCTTAAAAGGGGGCTCCACGGGGTGGGTGGTGGGTGGATTGTTAGATTGGTGGGTTGGTCAGCTGGTGGCAAGAGTGGAGGACGTGGAGGAGATGGAAGTCCGAGCTGCTGACCATCGGGGTTGCAACGAAACTTGGAAATGCAGGCGAACTCCGGAGTCGCGTTGCGTTGCTAACGATGCCGCTGGCTGTCTGATTGGGAAACGAGTCGTGGATTGGGGGCAGCAGGAATTCTCTGCTCCTCGGGTTGGGGCACTCCGAGGGCCTTCTGCATTGGGTGGGGCTGCTGGCCGGGATTAAGCAGTCGGGGTTCAGGTAGAGGGGTGCATGCCACAGACACAAACAGATAGACAGCCGCCCGAGAATGAGAACGAGATGGAGGACGCGCACGAGGATGTGGAAAAGGACGAGGACGAGGACGAGAACGAGAACGAGACCTACGCCTGAGTTAGAAACAGTTGCACTAGGAAAAAGCATAATGATCAGGGATCTATCATTGAACAGATCCTCTCCTCTAAAAAATAAACAGAAATTAATAAATATTTATAAATATTATTTATTGTATTATAAATATATTTATTTTATAAAGTAGGATTCCAGTTTATATTTTCGAATGACATTCAATAACTGAATATATTGAATATACAGAAATATATAAATGTACACAAATATATGATGTAGATTTTGAATAAATAGGAGAATAAAGCTTTCCAAAAATGCAGAATTATTTAGTAATTTATGACATCCTCCCTTTTAGTTATTAAATTCCCCCTTACAACCACCCCTTTTTGCTCGCAGTGCACATCCCCATTGGGCCCGCATTGATGGACAGTTAACGCGGCAAAACGAACGCGAAAACATGGCCAGAAGGGAGGGGGAGGTGTGGGTGGTGGTCAAAGGAGGGGGAGGGGGATTCCCCTTTCAGCGGATGCTGCTCCTGCTGAAGCCAGCAGGCTTAGACGGCGCAACTGTACCGAGGATTGTTTGCAGGAACAGGAATAGGAATAGGAATAGGAAGAGGTCCTGGCGGGG